TCGCTCGCGCTCTCGGTCGCGGTCTGCACGGCCGGACTTGCCCCACGAGAGGCGCACACAACTGCCGCAGACGGTGGTGCCCTGCATGTTGTTGATGACGTGCTCGGCGCTGGCGCGGTGGGCGAAGGTCACGAAGGCGCAGCCGCGGCCGGGGGGCGTGGTGACCGTCTGGATCTCGCCGGCGGAGTTGAACGTTTCGCGGAGCACCTTCTCGGTGACCGAGTCGTTGATGCCGCCGACGAAGACGGTGGTGTTGCTGGGGTCCGTGGCGTGCGCCCCGGTTTGCCCTGCGATGTCGTCGTCGCGTTGTGCGGGCGGGGCGTGTTCGGTGGGTAACGAACGTGAGGGGACGGCAGCGGAGGGAAACGAAGGGATCTATCGCTCCGGTGATCTAGTTGGTAACCTCGAATCCTTCTAGAGGTCAGGTCAGGGGTTCGAATCCCGGCGTAAGCGAGCTTTGCTTGCAAAGTGAGTTTTTCTCTCGCTTCCGCTCCTGGCCTAGTGGATAGCGCCAGATCTTGTGTACACAGAGCGAAGAGAGTGTTGAACTCTTCTCGCATTGAAAATCGAAGGCAAAGTACCGCAGGAGGGGAGGGTAGAGAAGGGCTCTTCTGTGTGACCACGGGCTGGAGTAAACGACACTAGTGCCGCTAGCGCTGATTTGAAGTGAAAAAAAAAAAACTCCCCCTGCCGGGTTCCATTATTCTTGACATGAACACGACTATGGTAGATAACAACTTCACGCAGCAGCCGAAGCCTTGTACTGCTCTGGAAGTATTTACCTACACCAGAGTCGGAGAGGAACATCAGATATTACCATGTTAGTGACAGACGGTAGTGTCTGAAATAGCGATGGATCTCATGTTCGCCAGTGTGCATTGGGCTGGCTCCCGCCGATTGCCGCACTTTCCGACGACTAAACGTTTTGCTCCAAATTTAGTCGGAAATAATGTTCTTGATTTCTAGGAGCAAGGTCGAACTAATGGAGCCCGGCACAAAAGGGGTTGGATACCAACCAAACGCAGGTATGATAGAAAGTATATGGATACGCGTACCCTACAGGCACATGCAAAACAAATGATTCGTGTTCCGACAACTCGGCAAAAAATAATTTGCTCGTCGAAGTATGCAGAAAACAACGCCATAAGTAGAGTATGATGATAGTGTAGACAAACATGCGTATGCAGATGTGTGTATGGATATGCATAGACGTGAGATACAGTTAATTACTGTCGGGAAAATTTGAACGAAACGCATCAGCATCCGCACAACCATCGTCTTGTGAACAGCGCCTCTTGTCCCCACACGCATTCATGTAGCACACATACATCGAAAAATACATTTCCGACACAAACAAATTTTCACCCGGCCCTGAGGTCACATACCTTGAACGCTGGTGCGCTTGGTCGCGGGCGCCACGCGGATCGGGCGGCCGCAGCACTCGGCGCCGTTCATGGCCGTGAGCGCCTCATCCCGCTCCTGCTCATCCCCGAAGCGGATGAAGCCGAAGCTCTTGGATGATCCGGTCATCGGGTTGGTGACCACCTTGGCGCCGAGGACGGACGCGTACTTGTCGAGAAAGGTCGCCTTGAGCTCGGCGTCGGTCACCTCGGGGGAAAGGTCCCCGACGAACACGGAATACTCGGGGGCCTGCTCTATGCGCTTGCCGCCCGCGCCCCAGTTCAGGCGGTAGCGCAGGGAGGTTCCCTCTGTGAACACAAACACAACAAGCATGAATCATATTGACTACATGTAGTGTGTGTCTTTATTATTAGTGTGCGTGTGTTCCACCTGGTGTTTTGTATGCCTGCTTGATGCCTGCTTGATGTGTGTTTGTGAGTCGCAGCGACCACGGTAGTTTTTCGGCAAGTACATTTACACGGTTAATGCCGCCTCCGCAGAAGCAGCAGCAAACATGTTAAAACAAAAACCTTGAAATCAAATCCGCATTCGGGTTGATGCTGCATGCAGCGGCAGTGTAGGATGTATGGTCGTTGTGGAAATGGGCGGGTAATAGAGAGGCACGCTATGTAGTGGAGACAAGTAACTGAACAGGCCACCTACCGATGCAGGAAAGGTTCTGCCGCCTGTTCCTGGCGCTGCCAGGCAGTTTTCATTGCCGACTCTCACCCGATTCGCCAACCCAGGATCGTGGAGCATTCGCTGGAATTCAACACGCTACAGCGAAACGACAGCAGGCGTGCCCTTCAACGAGAACTCGATTCATTTCCCCCCCGCCTTGTCCTCTTTTTCTCCGCCAGTACCCCTTTGTCTCACCAATGGGCTTTCCGTTCAACGAATCCAGCACAAGCTGAGCCGTCTCATGGTTTCGGAAGTCGATAAATCCGTAACCGGCCACGATCCCTCTGTGCCTGTCGCGAATAAGCTTGACCTCCAGCTCTTTTCCTACTGTAGGTCATCGGAGAGCGCGACACGACGCCGAGTGTGTTGTAAAGAGGGAGAAGAGAGGGGTTGGCATGACGATGGAAACGGAAACATACGAAGGGTTTTTCTTGTGTGTCTGCGACGGCATCTTGCTCGGGG